GTTTCCTGTTTCCGTCATTCCAAATTGTTCGTTACCGAGATAAGGTTGCCGGAATTTTACGCCGTCTCTGTTAACTGTTTTTAATGGAGATTTTCCGGTGACTTTGTTCGAATTGAAATCTGGATTTTATCTTCGATTTATCGCCTTGATTTGTGAAGCTCGTTTGTTAGGGATTGATGTTTAGCGGAAGATTTAACTAGTTTAAGAAATGTATGATACATTATGAACGAACCGCTAAAAGTACTGGTGGTTTTTGCGAGAATTGTATCGGATTTTCTGTGATGCGATTCTTCTTTGTATTTCACTGCTCCTGTATGAGTTTTTTCCAATTGAGCTTTAGTATTTTTTCAGATTCTCTAAACCACTAGCCTGCCGTTTTTGAAATCTCTTTTACAAGTGTAGTTCTCAGTTGACTCAATATATCATCTGTGCTAATCTTCGAGTTTGATTTGCAGCTTTGTTTGAAGTTCATTGACACTGAGCAGTTTCAGAGGTAACTTGTTGGATTGTGCTCGTTTCCATAGTATATTTTGGATGACTTGTTAAAACCACAGTGTTCTGATTCTTTAATCTAATTCCTTGTGGTAGGCTTCGTGAACTAAAGCAGCTTGGTGAGTTGACTTGCATCTCTACGGTCTTGTTTTGTCTATTTATCCCACGATAAAGAAGCATTGATCTTGAGAATCTCACAGTTTGAAATGATTGGATCGAATATAAAAAGTTTCCTCAAAGCCTTTTTATCCTCCATTGAGGTTATTTTGCTTTGGTTACTAGTTCTAACTGTACTGAGTCTTGAGTGGTTCAGGAGTGACAAACATGGTATATCCAGGAGCCGTGCATTCTAGATTTGAGCACTCTCTAGGCGTGTATTGGCTTGCAGGCGAAACTGTTCAGAGGCTAAAAACTTTCCAGGTATTGAAACGCTTATACAAATTTCAGCGGTGCAGTCAGATTTTGTTCAGTATGGGAAAGTTGTAATATATGTGTTATACTTTTTATAGGGAGCGGAGCTTGATATTGATAGTTTTGATCTTCAGACTGTGCGACTTGCTGGTAACTATTGTTAGCTCAATGACTACATTATTTCTTGATCCGAATTCTGATCTCCGTTTGTATATGTAGGACTTCTCCATGATATTGGCCATGGACCTTTCAGTCATATGTTTGAGCGTGAGTTCCTCCCGAAGGTCATAAGTGGCTGTGACTGGTATGTTTGCACATTCCTTGGAAACACCAATGCTATGGTGTGAACTTAATTTCACTACTATGGCTCTCTGAGCTATTCTTCTCTCCAGCTCTTGAATTTCCAGTTCTTGTCTGCAGGTCTCATGAGTCGATGTCTGTAAAGATGATTGACCATATCGTTGAGACACATCATATCGATGTTAATCCTGAAATGCTGAAAAGAGCGAAGGTAATATAGTCTTTCTTAAAACTGTTGTGTTTCGCAAATGGCCTCTAAACTTTGATCTGGGAAACTGTGACATTAGTGTTGGTTTTCAACTATGAGAATCTAATATTTCTTGCTTCCTTTCCCTCTTTGCTGATGGTTTGCTCAAATCTTTACTTGACAGGATATGATACTAGCTAGTACTGAATCTTCACAGCTGAAAGTAAGTTATCTAACAATATGTTATGTTCTGTATTCTAGTTGAACATAAACAGCTACTTATACTTTGCATATATTTTCCCTTTTTCATAATTTGCAGAGCAACGTAGAGAAACGTTTCCTGTATGACATTGTTGCTAATGGTCGAAACGGGATTGATGTGGACAAGTAATTCTATCTAGTCTTTAGTTTTATACTTGCTGCAGTTTCTTTGTTTCTCTTTTCACTCATCGTTATGTGTAGATTTGCACTTTTGTCTTAGGAGGTAAACGTTTAATGTCTACAAAATTTTATAGGTTTGACTACCTTGTCCGTGATTCTCGAGCGTGTGGACTGGGATGCAATTTTCAGTTCCAAAGGTCTACATACTTCTCTATAGTCATTTCGGTCTTTGCTAGTAAGAAAATTGCTAATTATCAGAACTTTCTAGGCTGACAGAGACGATGAGAGTCATGGATAACGAAATCTGCTACCGCGCTAAAGAGTGTGAGTTTTGTCCACCTGATATTCTGTATTTGTATTTGCTTCTACTCCCTTGTAAAACCCGGTTGAATTTTGCAGATCGTAATGTCCACAAGCTATTCGCAACTCGAGCTGATCTCCATCGAACAGTCTACACGCATCCGAAAGTAAAGGTATTGTAACACTATCAT